GGACTTGACTCCCCTCGGGCCCACCGGCCACCATCAACGGCCTGGATCCACGCGCACCAAGTGTCGCGGCTCCTCTTTCGCTAGATCTACTCCACGTGGCCCGATGTCCCATCTCAGACGAAGTGCGATGGCGCTAGAGTGCACACCATAACTCCTTCCCCAGGCATGGTGACCTAGGCGCCATCAAATTGCCTGCTCAAGGCAACAGTGGAAGGGACGTGCCCAGAAGCCACCGAGCCCGCTGACAAGGAGGCCCCATGGTGGCCTCGGGGACTGTGTCGGCTCCCCAGACAGAGGAACTAGACCTCTCGATAGATGGGAGCTCGGGCAGCGCACCCTTAGAACCAACCAACTCTCCTGAGTTGGGTCGAAAGCCGCTGAGTGGTGGACCCAACGAGGGTCCCTTGCTAGAGCTCGGTGTGCTCCCCGTGACCTGACCTATGGATGCAGAGGGTCAGCCCTAGAAGGCCAGCCCGAGAGGGTCAAGGCCTATGACCGAAGCCCTAGAAGGGTGTGGCACGTCGGGTGACCAGGTGGCCCTAAGCCAGAGCCTAGACGCTCTTGATCACCCGACCCATGGTAGGCTCCGACCTAAAGGAGGGGTGCCCCTAGGCCTAGAGTCGGTAACTCCCTGACGACTTCATCAAACCCTAATTTGGGCCACAAACCTACGTGACATAGGACCAGAAGGGGTCAGCACTTTTACCGCTCGGCCTCGATAGCCGAGCGCCCCCATCACACTAAGGGAAGGGCCCTACGCAGGGCATCGCACTCTCGTCAGTAGAAGCCATCCTCGCCATGGCTAGCTCGGTCACCAGAAGATTGAAATCAGCCCTTTGTTGCCATCACGAACCAGGCCAAGTGAGGCCACGAAGGGCTCGGGGGTTCCTGACGAGATCCTAACATATGGGCAATTTAAGCCTCAGGGTGGTTCCCGACCGAAGAGACATGACCGAGCCTGGGCACGTCGTATCCCTCGCTCATGGCTCAGGGGCGTGCCCGAGCCTTAGGCTCCCGATCGACGATGCGCCAATGCTCGACCCTTGGCTCCTACCCGGCCTACGACGCCAGCCAAGGGCCGGGTTCAAGAAGACAAGCCTTGAGCCACTGAGGCTCGAGGGCTCCCAGGTGCAGCACTCCGGGCACGGCCTTGCCAGCCACTCCCACGATAGGGTCATGCACGGGGCGTGACACAAGAAGACAAGTCCCCCCAGCCTCCAGGGGCTGGGTGGCTCCCGGGCCCACACATCAGCCCCAGGATCCAACCTCCTTCACCACCAAGAAGACTCCAGAAGGTCCACCTAGGAGAGGCCGATCCAAGCCGACACAGCCTAACACGCAGAGTGTCATAATAGAGCAGCCAAAAGACGCCCAAGGCTTCTTCGGCTCCACAACACCGCCAAGGTCCACAGAGCACCGCTGCAAGACCCTCATGGACTCTGGCGTATGTAGACCGTAGACACTTCTCCCCAAACCGCTATGTACCCGACCTATCTCGGTATATAAGGGATAAGGTCGGACCTAAGGGAGAGGAGGGAGGATCCCAGACAGATCATTTGACTCCTCATTCGATTCGCTTATGCTCAGCACCGAGGGCAGAGGCAACCCCGAGAGGGGCACCAAGAGCTCCTTCGCTGCATCCATCATCATCCTCCTCTCCGACAAGGGGAAGACTCCACCGGCGGCGAGGTAACCTTAGGATTAGCACCGAGCTAACCCTCTACCAAATCTCTCTACACTATGTTGTAACCTCCCGATTTTGGGTGTTTTGAGTATAAGGATCATCAGCTGCTGGACATAGGGCACCGATCGGCCCAAACCAGGATAAACCATTGTGTCCCCTCTATGGTTCTTGTGTTCTTGAGTCCACTCGAGCCACTGGAGACACGTACTCTGACATCGACTCGAACAACAATGCTTGCCGCGATTCCGACCCCATCACACCGAACATGGTAGATTTTTGTCGACCTATCAGAGTTGTTACCCTGGGGCTACTACAACTATCTGTGGAATTAGGTACCAACTTAGGTACTTATATCCTAGTTCCTAGACACCGGTACACTATCGAATACTACTCTACTCCTGGCTGAGGAACACAACACTTGACATGAGCAGAGATCCTATAAGTAAAGTAAAGTAAAGTAAAGTAAAGTGAGAACTTGAACTTAATTAAATAAAATAATTTAGAGATTGACAGTACTAGCCCTGGATGTCACTCAATTGAGCTAAATCCGTAAAATGGAAGAGAAGTCAATGGCTTTAGCTCCACCATGGATCTCTCCTCATTCTCTCCCTATTTTCTAAGTGGTGCGTTGATAGGACTTCGCCTTGGATCAATCTTCTTGTTTGTCCTATGATGATGACCTCAACTCCACTTTTTATAGCCTTTCCGTGGCGGTTTTGGAGCTAGGGTGTACTTGTAGAGTGAAGATGGTCTGTTTAGCATCGGCCCATGGTCGATTGACCTTCCATAGGGTTGACCGACCCTAGGATGCATCGCCTGGGTCACACGATAGTCACTCCCTTTATCTCTATTTCAATATCAAACCCTTGGAGTAGAAGATCCATCCGATTAATTGAGGCTTAGCATCTTTTTAGTGAGGAGGTACTTAAGAAGCATGATCCATAAAAACTATTACCTTTGCCACCACTAAGTATAACACCCTGGCTAGAAACACCACCGGAGGTTACCAATTGACACCTAAATTATACTAAATTTAGAAATCATTAATTGTTTTGGCAGAATCAACCTTTTAAACTGGACATTTGAGCAGGCAAAAACATGTAATATAGATGATATAAGCTCATAAATAAAGACAAAATCACCATAGTCCAACCCAATAACAAAACAAAAATACCACCCCAACAACAGATACTATCTCATCCAAATCAACCTTTAAGTGATCTTTAATTAAGCTATTATAATTGCATAAACTTCAATTAAATAAATAAGCATATGTAAACTAGGTGTTTGTCTCATGAAGGTGCTACTCCCAATTCCCATACATGTCGCGATCATTTGGTACCTAAAAGTAAATAAACGCAATGGTGAGTAAAAACACTGAACAAGTAGAATTAGAATCGAAAAATCAAATATCACACGATGATCCATAAACAAAGAACTAGGACATCAAGAAATAATAGTTTCCGTCTAAAATAAACGAACTTGAATCCTTCGAATTTACCGATAAAGCCGAGCAAGTGGGACCGATACTTTTATAGTTCTATAATGAACCAAGCTCAAAATAAATTTACATTTGAAATGAGCATTTGAACGTTCAAAGACGACATTGAGACTTGGGCGATAATTGAGGATCAAAATGGCTATTCCACCTTTGGTACATTGTTTAACAAACACAAGTAGGAACGAACCCACTCTATCATCATGGTGGGGCGGCCGCCCCAGCTACCGGTCGGCCAACCTCAGTACCACTCCCTCTCTTTCCCCTCCAATCTGCAACAGAAATGCTATACAATACATATGTGTTTGAGCAAAAAAAACACATGGATTTTTTATCTCTGTAGGCTGTAGTGCGGCGGCGTGCCTTCGCCGTCGTATGCAGTGTCGTTTGGCTTCCCGGTCCGTCCTGAGCAGCGATCACAGGTCGCTGGACGGACGCACTGATCCTGCGATCCATGGTTTGGTATGGTATAAGGTCCATGTGTGGTTTTGTTGGTATACGTTTCGACCCGCCGGTGCCTGCTATCCACCGATAGAGAAGAACGTGTTTTCGATTTATCATTTTGTCCTTGCATAGAAAAAAAATTGTTTCTTATGATCTGTGGATATGATTTGTGGATCTGTGATCTTGTGATTTGTGATTGTCTGGCTGTTGAATTTTAATTTTATGGTATAAAAAAATCATGTGTTGAAACTGCATAAAACACGTAGTAGTTGGAACAGACAGACTCATCTGCAAAGCTCGATGACTTTAGTGGCGGCTTCGCCTCTGCGCATGTGCGACCGGAGAAGGAATCCAAACGGTATGGGCTACCGTGGACCGTGGTTGGCAATGGGTTGTATATATGTTTGTACTGAAGCCCAACAATCCAGCTCAGGAGGCAAGGAACGAAATAGCCCAGCTCCAAGGCCCCCAGCAGGACAAACGCCGCACCAACTACCAAAAAGGCTTCGTCTGCTCCTGCGTGCACGTGGATGTGGTAGTTAACATGGTACAAACGTCAGAATTAGTGAATTACTACGTCCGTCCAAAAAATATAACTATGGTTCATGTTTGACAAAGTTTTTAGTAAAAGATATTTATATTTATGGCTCTAAATTAATTTATTATAAAAATATGATTCAGAATTAATCTAATAATATTTATTTATTTTATATCATAAATATTAATATATTTTTATCTATAATTGGTCAAACTTAAGGTATTAAAACATAACACTGTGCTAGAATTACATTCATTCTGAGACGGAGGGAGTACTAACTACGCAAATATGTGCACGATTTCGCCTTATGTGACGTCAATTGACAATGTCTCTTTATAAAATTTTGAGGCAAGTCAAAAAAAAAAATTGTATTTTGAGTGGTTATTAGGTGCAAGACAAAAAATTATTCATCAAATTAAATGTATCATATTGCAACTGTGGTTGGCTTAGATTCTGGTTGGATCTCCTAAGAAAAATGACAATGAGATACAATAATAAGAATTAGATCCAAACACTTGATTCTCTAATGGGATTTTAGAATCCAACTATCTGCTCTAACACTACTATTTAGATATTCTCATTATGTAAAGATAATATAATCCAGAATTCAAAAACCCTTCATTTTTAGAATCTAGATTCTACAGCCACTATCTAAAATCATTGAGAATTAGATCCAAACATGACTTTATTGTTTTGCTATTGTGCAATCACAATGTGCCTATATGTTTTGTGTTCAGTATTATTGCCAGAGTTTGCTCCACCTGAATATTTTTTCTAGGTCCGCCACTGGACACAAGTCGATATGGAGTTCTGCACGGGTTGCCATTCTTCTCTTCCTATAAGCGCGATACAGTCAGTCGCGCTTCACTCTGAGTCCGTGTCTCCGTCGAGCCGGAATTGCCAAGGTCCGAGGGATCGCACTGTAACGTGGAGCCGTACACCGCCGAGAGCGACAGTAACACCTCGCCCATCGACGGCCTTGCCCGGGGCTCCCGCGCCACGCACCGCAGAGCCAGCCCGAGCAACGCGAACGCCACATCCAGCTGGTAGTCCCCGTGCAACCGAACGTCCATGAACGCCGCCACCTTGTCCCGCACGCCGTCACCGCCGATGGCCAACCTCTCTGCTTCCTGCCACAGCAATAGTTCACTGCCACCGCCACCGCCGGCGCCGTCGTCGTTGTGGACCCGAGCAGGCGCCACCTCCTTCCCGGACAGAAGCTCGAGCATGATGACCCCGAAAGCGAACACGTCGAGGTGAGGGCCGATCAGCCCGTGCTCTAGATATTCCGGCGCCAGGTACCCCTCCGTGCCCACGACGTGGCGCGTCATCTCCACGCCGCCGGCTGCCGAGACGATGGCGCGTGCCAGGCCGAAGTTCGACACCTTGGCACGGAGACAGCCGTCGAGCAGGACGTTGCTGCTCTTCAGATTCTTGTGCACGTACGGAGGGCTGGTGTAGTTGTGCAGGTAGTTCAGCCCGTCGGCCACGTCGAACGCCACCTGCACCCGCTGCTTCCACCCGAGCGCGCGGCCGCGGCCGTGTAGCCAGTCGCTGAGTGCGCCGTTCTCGGCGAACTCGAACACCAGGTGCGTGTAGCCGCGATGCACGCAGAGGCCGCACAGGCGGACAAGGCACGTGTGGTTGACGCGCCCCAAGACGGTCACCTCAGCGCCCACGTCCCCGGTAACGCGCTTCACCGCCGCCACGTCGCCGTTCATCACGGCGCGGTAGACTGACGAGCCTCCGACACGCCGCTCCTCTGCGAACCCCGCGGTCGCCTTCTCCAGTTCACCGTACTCGAAAACCGTCAACGATGCCACCGCGTCGCGGACGTCGCCGGCCACCATCACCGGAGACATCCACGACGCCGTCGCCTCTTCCCCCTTCATCTCCGCTGCCACGCCATACTCCAGAAACGACGGCGCGTCAGGAACTGCCCTCCTTGAACGGTCGCCGCGCTGCCGGCACCAACGCCATAGCAAGAACAGAGCAAACACGGCACCCGACACAAGAACACCGCATCCCACACCAGCGCCGAAGATGGCCCGCCAGTTTATCGCACTCGACTGACGAGAAGTGGACTTCGCCGGCTGATGCGACGCTGGCGGAGCTGCAGCTGGAGCTGGAGCAGGAGCAGGGGGCTCCAGCAAGGTAGTCATGTTCGGCGTGGGAGGGTCCTTGAGCGGGACTAACATCGTTGTGAAGGGGTACACGGTGGAGTCGTCGGTGAGGCTGTTGGCGTCAAGCACGGCCTGGTAGTCGGCACGGAAGCGTTCGGCGACGGTGTTGGAGTCGTCGTCCCACCCGAGGAGGTAGGTCACCAGGTACCTCACGCCGGCCGCGGCCTGCGCCGCCGACGGGCACGCGCACCGGAGCGGCACGGTGAGGGAGATGTTGGGATAAAGATCGAGGCTGTCGTGGGCGGGGTTCTGCGCCATGAGCGCCTGGCAGGTGGCGAGCCCCTGGTACGTATTGTTAGCGATGGTGAAGTAGGTCTCGTCGTCGAACTGGATGACGTAGGACGCGCCGTGCTGGTAGTACCCCGCGCTGGTGCAGGCGCAGGGGACCGGGACGAGGAGGAGCCGCGAGTCCTCGACCGGGGAGGCGACGGGGACGGCGTTGGCGGCCGCGACGGCGGGCGTGGTGGCGTTGAGGAGGTAGGAGACAGTGATGGGGGAGGAGTAGTACGGCGGCGCGGAGCGGAAGGCGAGGTAGGTGTCGCATGACCGCGGGGACGTCGTGCCGTTCTTGCTACGGCGGCAAGTGTAGCCGAGGACGGAGCTGCCGTTGTTGGAGTAGCAGTCGGTCTGCGCGTTGGCCTCGTACGCCTGCTGCGCTACCGCGGGAGGCAGCAGCACCAGCGCCGCTGGGGCCAGGAAGAGGTGGTGGTGGCGACGACAGGCGGCCGGTCGTCCTGCTCCGCCGTGAAAAGACCGCGTCTGCGTCATGGTTTGCTATGTGCTTTATTTTGCCGGGAGATTAGGATGATCAGGCTGCTTGGCAGTGCCAGGCTGCCAGCGCCCAGGAACAGATAGATATACCCCAGCCTGTTCGTTTGGCTATGCCTTGTCGTAAATGATCGTAAATTTTCAGCCAAAACAGTATTTTTCTCTCACACAAACCAGCCAGCAGTACTTCTTCACGAACTAGCCAACCGAACAGTAACGGCAGGAGACTAAGCCAGCGTTGACTTCAGTCAACCCTCGAGGTCAACTACTCATACTCGAGAAGGACACCGCCACATCGCGATCAGGTATCTCAAGTCTAGTTTGCCTGGCTGTGTGGATGCCAATGCCATGGAACTAGGGGCGCACTGGGCGTGTTATCTGGTCCGCAAGCGAATGCCGTCCAAGGCTTTCCAAGGCTCCACCTAAAGATGGCAATTTTTACCCGAAACCCGATGGGTAATTACCTCATTAGGGCAAGGGCATGGCTTTTTTTTTTACCCATGGGTAAGATAACGGGAAAAAAGCCTTACCCAACGGGTAAAGCGGGTAAAGATATGGGACTGCATTGTCCGTACCCGTTAACCCATGGGTAAATTGAACCCGATTCAATATGCTAGAATCATGTGAAATTGGTCATTTGTTATCTAGTAACAATGGATTTATCTATTAGATTATTTGATCAGGTGTTCATGTAGCCGGTATGTTTGATGATTTTATTATTGATCTGTGATGCTTTGGCTAAAATTGGGAGTCTAATATTAAAACATGTAATTTTTCTCCGCAAACATTCTTGAATCATGGGTAAGGATAACCCACGGGTTACCCGTTACCCGCATGGGTAAGGGTATGGGAAAAAACTCTTACCCATGCATAGGTATGGGTAAATTAGCGTGGTAAAATATTTTCTCGTGGGTAAGGGTATGGATAACGCATACCCAGCGGGTAATTACCCATTGCCATTTTTAGCTCCACCATTCGACAATGCAAGGGGATCCTCTTCCATGTAGTAGACTGTAGTACCGATCGATCACCTGCTGATCTTTACACCGACTCTTCTGCAACCAGCAGCACAAAATTCAGAATTGCATCATGCCATGCTGCTTGTCCATCGAAGTCGCAGGAAACTGGTCGCCAGGTAAATCACAAGAGTAAGTTGGGGCAAAAATAAATTTCCTGCAATGCTGCTTGCTCATCGAAGTCACAGGTCGGCAGGTCGCTAGGTAAATAGACAGAAGTAAGCTAGGTCAAGGATGGGTTAATCGACAGAAGTGAGCTGACAGAAGTAAGCTAGGACAAGAATGGGTTAATCGACAAAAAATTAAAAAACTGTCAAGAATGGGATTCGAACCCATGCCCTTTCGGACCAGTACCTGAAACTGGCGCCTTAGACCAACTCGGCCATCTTGACAATGTGGCCTGTGTTACAACATTAGTTTATTTCAAGGTTTAGTCAGCAACAAACTGTCCTCTCTCCTTTGTACAAAGCTTCCCAGACATGAAATCAAACCTATCGTGTTTTTTAGGAAAAAGAAGGGGTTGCCCCAGTTTATTGAAACACGAAAACCGATACGACCGCTACGTTAATAAAACTACACAAAGGCTTCTAACCATTGACTTATGAGGGGCTCATAAGTTTGCTTTCCTCTAAGTATAACTTGAGCAAACTCACTGAAAATTGATTCGCATCGCATGACTGAAGGTTGTATGTTTCTGAAAATGTTGTCATTACGAACTATACAGATGGACCAGCACATTGCGATTAGAATTTTCATAAAAAAGGCAGCTATAGTTGAGTTCGGAAGGATGAGACTATATGAGAGAGTGACAAACAGGTCATTGCTTTGATGAATGACAAGACCAAGACTGCTCCAACATGCTTCATTAAAAAGACAGGCCAGGAAGAGATGTATGAGACTCTCTTCCGTTGCTAGGCTGCAGAGGACGCACTTATGTGTTTATCTAGAACGTAAGAGGACTTAGTCGTGCTCGTCAAAATGTAGTTCCTGCTTACTGGTTGTGGAGTTCATCTCCTAGGAGCGTCTTTCTTTGTTGTGCTCTACTTATCTCCTCAATGATTGATACGTGTCGGATATCTATGTCCGGGTATCGAGCCAAAGGATTAATGAGCGTCACGTCGGCTCATTCGATGGTTAAGAACGCAACTACGGCCTCGTCCGACCCCCAAGGGCCGGGCCACACCTCGTCCGACTCCGAGGACGAGGTTTCCGCCTCGTCCGCCCCCAAGGCGTGGACTCCGACTCCGAGGACGATGTTTCCGCCTCGTCCGACTTCAAGGACGAGGTTTCCATCTCGTCCGACCCCAAGGCGTGCGCTCCGACTCTGAGGACGAGGTTTCCGCCTCGTACGACCCCAAGGCGTGGGCTCCGACTCCTCCGACCCTAGGGCGCGGGCTCCGACTCGTCCGGTCCCACGGGGAGGGCTCCGCCTCGTCCGACCCCCGAGGGTCGGATTCCGTCTCACCCGGCCCCCAGGACGAGATTTCCGCCTCGCCCGTTCCCTGGGGGTCGGATTTGCTACCGGACAAAAGTAGTGGACCCAGGGTGGGACCCGAACCGCTTCAACCACTACGGCGTGGAGGCGCACGCCCGGGAGCACGTCTCCGTCGATCATTGGCGGTCACATCAGCCATCTTTGGGAGACTCACGCCGCCCCACCGCGTCACAGACAAGATCAGGTCGCCAACTCCTTGCCTGACCACCGTCCAACGTCAGTCGACCGGCGTCGATTGATCGGCATCTTTATCGCCAAATTTCGTATATGGCCTCTGTCAGGGGACCCTTTGACCATTCCGTCCGCTCGGATGGGATGGAAGACAAGAACGGCGCACGATGTCCGCACGTATGTAGCAGCGGCCAACAGGACCCCGGTGCGACGCCGCTATCACCACGATCTACAGGGTCAGCGGGACCCACACGAAGAGAAGGACGGCGCACTCCCGGGAGCCTTATTTCTCTTTTTTTCCCTCTTCCCTTCTCTTGGTCTCTGGTATCATATTCTGTCCCCTTGGTCTAAAAAGGGGAAGGCAGGGCACCGTTCAAGAGGAGAGATCGATCGATCGATAGATCGAGCAGTAGAAACATCGAGCAATCGAACCACAGAGACTTGGGAGCTTCTCCCTCTCTCGTCAGTTTGTAACCCCCTACTACAAACTCAGTGTTGGTAACACGAGCAGCTTGAAACTGGACGTAGGGACATTCGGCCCGAACCAGTATAATTATCATGTCCTCTTAGCACACCATCCGGATCAGACGCGCAATATACAAATTTACTAGTCGGCTGTTCGAAACACCGACAATACGGAAGCAGTGAACTCACTGGGTCTTCAACAGAAGGCAGTCATGCGACACGTGTTGCTTCGGCAAATCAATGAGGAGGCCGAACAGTGGATTATGGTGGGATACAATCATCTTCTCTCGCTGAATGTGTGCTCTTATGTGGTTAAGTTTATGTACGATGTGTGTTTGGTTGTCTTCTAATAGGTTTTTTTCAATAGTTACTTTACTGTATGCTCTTTCTTGTCCTTTATTTAATGACTAGCAAACATGCCCGTGCGTTGCACCGGGTTAAAAAATCAAATACATTCATGTAAAACTTTGATAGGAAGTGTTGCATGCCTATTTATGTTTTTTCCTTTCTATGAAATTTAAGACCTCTAATTTATTTTAGGATAACCATGACATCTATAATATAAGTTAAAATTGGTAATAATATAACAATGTCCAATGAAACTTGTATCAAATTAAATATAAAATACAACAATGATATATTTTTTCTTCCGCTGAAAAGCATAGAAATATTTAGATGTAAAAGTATCATACTATCTATGTGTTTCTATAGTTAAATATTCAGTTTCGTCATTTTCTTCAAGGACCATAAAAATCCGTAGTTGGAATCTCTGATTAAAGTCGGCAGGAGTTAGTTGTTGACCTGTCAAGAATTCTGGTGCTTATGACAGGAGACCAGTGTTATCTTAAACGCTAAACGGTAAACAGTCGGTCACCTACCGTTTAACCTATTATTCGGGCAAAACGGCGTTTAAACGGGAAAATGGCCATTTAAACGGTCAAAACAACTGATTAAACGGAAACGGTGTACCACTGTGTAGCGTTTAAACGGTGCGTAAACGGGCTAAACAGTCGTTTAGGCGAACAGTGCAGGAGACCTCTCAATTTTTCACATGGCAACTCCCGTCGAGGATTGTAGAGATACATTTGGTTTTGTTTTTAATCAAATCACAAAACTGCATAAAGGGCAATGGTTCAAAGAATAGTGTTGTGTTTATTATTTGTTTTTACATTTATTTGAGAAAAAATAAAAAAAAACCACCGCAGTGAGCAGAAGATTTTGGGGAAAAAATAAGACCGAGCGGATGCACAACAGATAAATGTGCGGGCTAGACAAAAAAAAACTTGCAGATAAAAAATCAGGAACAAAAAACACCGGAAGAAACATATTTTGGAAAAATAAAATAGAAGCAAGCGGATGCACAACAGAAGAACGTGCGGGCCAGATAAAAAAACTTGCGGACAAAACATTAGGAACATGAGGACAGAGGGTTGTATATTTGCCTAACTTTTACTCTTATTTTCCTTTTTCTATTTAGATTAGGATTAGGATTCAGTATCAAATACGATTAGGTGTATTCATTGTATTCATATTAGGATTCTAACTCGTAAGTGCACAGATTATTATATATATAAGTCCTGACGAAAGAAACTCTTCATTGTTCGGTAGTTAGAGGTAGACGGACCAAAAAATGGATGGACAAAAAAAAATAGGTTGAAATTTTGCCTCTTTATTATTAGGTATCGAAAAACATGCTTTACAATAGTTAAAAAAAATTAACTGCAAATGGGCTTCACTCAAACGTAAACAAACGGAAATGATAACGAACCAAGTCAACAACAACCAAAATTTTCATTTAATTTTGTAATTGGTGTAAATACACAAACGTCGATCAACCAAATAACAAAATTTCATATCCTTTCAAACTCTTTGCATATCATTAAGTCTTTAACATCCTACACACACAAAAAAATCCAATGAAAAACTAAACCTATCAATCAGCTTATATGCCTTCGTGCAGCATTGTTTCACTTGTTCGCGTCCAATACACGCGCTTTAAAGCCATTTTTATCACTCGGCATCCTCTTCAATGGTGCTGAGCGCCCTCCTCACAGGCGGAGCCGGTCGCGCCGCCACGGCGGACTTCCTGACGTTGCTCGCCGGACTACGTGAAGCCGTCGTCTCGAAGCCGCCAAGAGTCCTCTGGTTCAGCTTCTCGTTGACCTCTTCGTCGCCGTCCGCGTGGTGGTGGTGCGCCGCAGGCACGACGCGCGTCTTCGCGAACCCGCCGCAGCCGCGAGGGCGTCGTCCGTGCCCACTACGCGGCCCCGCTGCCGCTCCCGCCGCCAGCGCCTGGCTCGCTCGCACGGCGAGCGCGGCCATGTCGGCGCTGGAGAGCGGCCTGCCGAGCATCGCCGCGGGGAGGACGAAGTATATCTGCCCCGGCCGGAGCAGCTCGTCGGCGCCGAGCGCCGGGACGTCGGCGTCGAAGTAGAGCGCGTCGGAGCTGCACACGAAGAACCGGCGGTCGTCGGCATTGGCGCCGATGGCGAGCGCGTCGGAGACGGAGACTGCATGGAGCGGCGCCGGCGCTAATTCCCTCAGCGAGCCGTCGGCCGCGATGACCAGGGCCGGCGGGGCCGCCGGCGACGACGACGTCGCCGGCGGCTGGTGAAGCGACGCGCTGCTCCGGTGGCTGCTTGAGAGGCCTGATCCCATCAAAGTTTCGGTGGACACGGATTGAATTGTTTGGAGTTTGGAATGGAGAGGAGTTGACCAAAAGGAACCTGTATATATAGAGGAGCGGGCGAGCGGCCGAAAGTGGAGGAGGGAAAAAAAAAGGTTGACGCGAATTGCAATGTTCTGTCATTTAGCACTTAACTCCCTTGGTTCCTGTACTATTTTGGATGTGTTACGGCAACCGGTTTTTTGTTACTCCTTCCAGGAATCATAGGCAGCCATTTTTTTTGGGCACCCAACTTGAGTAAGCTACATGTATGATTTCTGTCATGGGGGCATGGGCATGCAATATTCAGTTGTTTGAGAGATACATGTGAAGCAATGCCGCGTATGCAATATGGCATTGGTAAGACTCACTGCTAAAAGAATAAGCTTGTAACACTTTTTATGAAATGGTGGAGTCATTAGAGAAACAATACTTTTACTACTCCCACTTTATAAATTATAAATCATTTTGACATTTCTAACATGAACTAATACGCATATGCAATATGGCAATAGTAAGACTCACCACTAAAAAGAATAAAGCTCGTAGAAATAACACTTTTTTTTACGAAAAGGTGGAGTCATATGGAGAAATAGTAATTTTACACCCCCACTTTCTAAGTTATAAATTATTTTTGGGCATTCCTAATGCTAACTAATATATGCGTATGCAATGTGTCATTAGTAAAACTCACCGCTAAAAAGAATAAGCTTGTAGAAATAATATTTTTTTTTATGAAAAGGTGGAGACATATAGAGGAATAATAATTTTACTAATCCGGGTTTCTAAATTATAAATCATTTTGAGATTTGTAAGTATATAGCTTCTGTTGTATACAACATGTGCACTATGTATAAAAGACATAATAAACTTATAATTTGATCTGAGGGGGCAGCTGTTAACACCATCCCATGCACTCAAGTCTCTCTCTAGCTTCGAGTCAACTTTAAACCATCCCATGCACCCACAGAAAATGCTCTACGTTGAAAACCATCCGAACGAGCCTAACCTCTGCTCCAAGGAAACCTTAGCCCCCAGACCTGACGGCAAAACACCACATCGTCAGGGTCCGAGTCGCAAAGAAGCAGAAGCAGTAGCAGAACGACAATTCCAAGACAAACAGGGCAAAACCAGCGGCAAGACCTGTTCGTTACGGCATGACCGCGTCCGTCCGCGTGGCTGAGTCACGGGCCCGTCACGCACGAACCCGCTCAAACCGCAGGATTGGTGGGATGGGATTGGTTGGTCGACGCGTAGCGTGCGGACTAGGGTAGCGGCCGGCACCTAGGTTGCATCATGACTGTCATGATAGTTGGCTAGTAGAGTCCTAGGTTGGGCTGCAAATCGCTTGCGAGACTGTGTGCTGCCTGAAGGGATAAATAACCACTACGGCGGTGTTTCTCTAGATAGACGTTTAATTTAGTGCGTTTGATCAGAGCCTGGTGTCTGGGGGAGGCCAGGTGTGCCGAGGGCAGCGAACGAGCAAGCAATCCCTGTATTTTCGGCACAGGATATGGGGCTTCTTTGGTTTTGGCAGCCTGTGAGAACTCGGAGGGGAGGGGCAGGACGCTCGATCCTGTCCTGAGATGCTTCGTACCAATTGCTGCACTCCATCTCCATGTCCTCGTAACCTCCTTGATTCCTTCACGTCACAGGTGGACCCCTCAGTCCTCACTCGCGACACAACATTCACGTCTTGACCGAGACCCTTTCACAAACAGCTTGCCCGATCGATGAAGCCTTTGCCGTACGCACGTACTAGTACCTACGTACGTACAGTCAAGTCAGACGACTGCTTATTAAAAAAAAAAGAATCAGACGACTCGACGACTTTCAAAGACAGACGGGAGATGCGTTGGTCGCCCGCAGCCACTGAAAAAGGGGGGGTTCATTCGTACGGAGTAAGTCGTAACAATAACGAGTACTACTATCTCCGTCAGAAAATGCAACTATAGAGTAAAAAAATTCTCTAGAAAAATACAATTCTAGGTGGTGGTGGTGGTGATAAGCAGCTGAGGCATAAGATAGCTCACTAAAATCAATTTCAACCATTGTGCCTTATGTGCTCACCCATCAATCCAAATATATGGAGAGGTGAGAGAGAGCAAGAGGTGGATGAAAGAAAAAAAATCGAAGAAGCGAGAGAAAATGTAGAGAGAGAACATCCGTCTTCAATTTCTGTTCTACATCCATAGCTCACTAAAACCAATTTCAACCATTTTACCTCATGTGCTCACCCAGCCACTCCACGCAAGCTTCTCCTTCTCTCTTGCATGTGTCAGTGTGGTGAGTATCGAGGAAGCAAAAGCAAATGTAGAGACAAGAACATTGTCTTTTATTCCCGTGACTGAGCCTTTCTTAGAAACCAAGCGTTGCTTTCTTTTTCAACATGATTACAATGGTGGTTACAAGGTGGATTTGCAGTTTACAACTCTGAGTTGGTCTAAATTACATTTGTCCTATTTTTCAGCGCCTGATCAAGAGATGAGCACCAACCTTCAATGATTTTTTTTTTTTTTTGCTTTTGTTTGGCATTCTTGCTTTTTCCACTGGATGGCTTTCGCCTTGCAAGTCATTATTTTAATACCTTATCAGATGCTCAATACCAGATAACCATAATTCAAGAGTGTGTACTAGCAAAAACTATATTTCAACGGTGTCTAAACTCCAGCGACAACAAATAATGTCACCATTGAACGGTGTCCGCCTGCAAATTTACCTAGTGACAAAAATGTTAGAACGGCCGGCCCCACTTCTCGTTGGCAGCTGGTGCACTGCTGAGCAAATTGCAGCCACTGCTTGCTGCTAGCAGCTGCAGCAATGGCAGTCGAGGCTATGATACACCACAGTAGGATAGTTTATGAAAAGGAAATGGAGACACGTTGGTAGTTAGCAAATCGCTATTAGCAAATGGGCAACTCCGTTATGATACACCACATTAGGATTGTTTGCTTTGAAATTTATAAATGGTTTTTTCGTTCATAACAATTCAACCAAAATCGCTTTTTAGCAAATGGGCAACCACGTCGAACGGGGGCACGTCTCAGAGATGAGCCCTGTGCCCCTGTCGGCTGCCGCCGTACGGCAAGTACACCGTCTTGGATTGTTTCTCAGCCTGCGCTTGGTCATCCGCCACCCAAACAAAACAAACTGTGCCATCCAGCCGTTGGCCTCTTTCCTGCCGGGTCAACTGTCCATCATTGCGATCCGCCGAGCACGTCAGTCGCCGCTCGCTTTCTACCGTCTGTCACTGTGTGCGGGCGCGTGCGTCCCTAGCCGCGGCACCGGCGGGTCGGGTGCGCGCCCACTCGAGCGTCAATCGGCGGACGCACGCCACGCGACCAACTTTCGTTTGAGCCCTTGGGCGCTGCTGCTGCCGCTGCCGCCCGGTTTCCGTTTACAAAGCGTACGCTCCTGTTTCCGTTTCGCGAAGAAGCGGGGGTGCGATGTGGTGCAGTCCACACCTTGACATTTGATAATTCAATGCAACGCAATATATAATTGGAACTTTGGAAGCAGAACTGCAGAAGGGAACTCAGACCCTGATGAGCGTTTGATTCGTTCACGTCCCTCCGTCCATGAGAGAATGCAATTATAGGATCCGTGCCGATTCTTAAGTTTGACCAAGTTTATAGTAAAATAGTATTGATATCTACGTCTTAAAATAAATTTATTATAAAAATATATCATATGACTAATCTAATGATACTAATTTTGCATAAGGAATGTTAGTGTTTTTTTTATATAATTTTGGTCAAAGTTCAGAGCCTGTTTAGTTGGCAAAAATTTTGGTTTTGGGTACTGTAGCACTTTTGTTTGTATTTGATAATTAGTGTATAATTATGGACTAATTAGGTTCGAAAGTTTCGTCTCGTGATTTCTCACCCAACTATGTAATTAGTTTTTTTAGTCTACATTTAGTTCTTCATGCATGTGCCGCAAGATTTGATGTGATGGATACTGCGCAAAAAAATTTAGGTTTTGGGTGAAACTAAACAAGGCCTCAAACTGATTGAGTTCTCGGGAAACGAGAATTGTATTCTTACGTGGACGAAGAGAGTATAAGAGTGTACTGGGCCCTCCGCAATGTGAGGTCTGAGTGATGCCTAGAATGGAGAGGGATGATCGAGGAGTCACTCCTGCACGCCGTGGCTAGCGTAGCCAAGTTTCAGTGACGCCGATAATTCTGGGAGCGGAGCAGGTACAGGCAGCGGTGCCCGCTCAGTAAAAAAGTACTTTGTCGCCAGTTGCCGTCGTCGGCGTTTTCCTGGTTTGCTGCTTTTTTATTTATTTGCCATGTGGGGCCGGTAGCAAAGCCTGATTTGTTTCTGCATTGCAGGTAAGGATGAAAACGGAAACGAAATATCCTGAACCGAACCGTATCGTTTTCTATATTTGACCCGAGCGAATTCGTATTTTCGAACAAAATACGGAATACTAAATTCGAATTCGAAATTCGGAACACCAAATTCGAAATCGGATCGAATTCGGTTTAGGCTTTGTTCGACCGATTTCTACTTTTCTACTTTTAATTCGGAATATCCCGAATTCGAAATTCGGTTTAAACCAAATTCGGCCCACTACAAGTCCAACCTTAGAAAAATTATATCTTTTTCATACGATCTCGGATGAAGATAATTTTTATATGAAAATTGTAGCTCTCAACGAGATCTACACTTTCTATTTCTTAGTTTTTTCATTTGATGTCTTGAAATTGTTAAAAAAAATTAAACAAAGTCAGCGATATATTAATCGTGTACAAGCGCTTGTTGCCTTAAAAAAATCATATCTTCCTTACGTCGTATTGAATGGAGATACTTTTTAAGAAAGTTGTAGGACTTGTTAATTATTATGTACTTGTTAATTATTATACACTTGGTCCTACGGGTCAATATTCCGTATTGATTTTTCGTATACCGACCGTGTTCGACATAATTCCGTTCGAATTAGTTTGTTTTTGAAATTTTTGATATTCCGTAAGTTCGTGTTCATT